ATACTATTGAACTGACCTACTTTAATACAACACACAAAAATAACACAAGCCAATGGACTAAAGACAAGCCAGGCTTAAAAAACTAAAAACCAAATCCATCATTTGACTGCTTGTGCTATTACAGTTGTTGCAATGATTTCTCCTTCACTGCAAGTAATTAAACGGTCTGTTTTCTAAAAAAGTCTGATGCTCCCTGAGATACTGGACTTGAAATAAGCTGAACAAAATCCTAAATACCTGTTTAACAAGGGCTGCATAGCAGTTCATACTAACTCCTCCTGTTTTTAAAGTAATGCAAAGGAGAAAACTTCCTATTTTCCCAGACTCAGTCTGGTCTGTCTTTTGGTACTGCTCTATGTACCTCAGACATTTAGAGTGCCTTGCTCAAGGCCATATGTACGTTTGAAACACTGAACACAATTACTTCAAAGGCATTAAGGAATCCTTCCCAAAACAGGACCTCACACAGGTATATGCCATGTTCCAAACCCAGAATTTTACATCTGTTAGAAGTATGAGTTAGCCTGGAGCACAGGAGTCTGGGGAGAAAAAAAAAAAAATCTATTGGAACAGAAACTAACCCTTTACACAAGGCAAGTCCCCCGACAAGCATTTTTATGCTCCTGACCTAATGTTTCCTACAGTCTCCTATATGAAGGAAGAAAATATGTAGTCCTACATTCCACAGAGAACTGGAGATCAACGGTAGTCAGATGCTGGATTTTGGGATGAATAAACTGAACTCAGTAATAAAAACAAGGCAGAGGGTCCTACTCCAAATGGGGCAATAACCTATATCATTCACTGCAGAACATTATTCTTCAGTCTAAAGTGAAGGTCAAAACTTAGGTTTAAGAAGTGATTAAAAAAAAAAACAAAACAACAAATCACAATAGAAGTAATTTAGATGCAGCATCAGATTTTAAACAGATGGAGCGGTGCATTTTATTGCATTACATAAGCTATTCAGGGCACAGTAGATGTGTCCTAATCTGTTTCTCACAGACATATTAGTTGTATCTCAAATTAATTTAACTCGCCTTCTTGCAAAATCTGACAAAATTGACTCCGTGTCTGGCATATGCATTCTGCAGACAAAAAATGACGTGAACTGTTTTAAATACATGCCTTCAGCATGGAATTCCTCAGTCTCTACTAAAATATTCCTTAATTGAGAAGAATGTTACACAGGATTTGTAATAGTAAGAAAAATACCTGCTCAATACCTCTCCTGCAGTAGTTTCAGAGGAACCTCCCACATCCTTCATGGTGCAAAACACCAGGAGAGACAACCCTTTCTCAAGCCTCTTTCCAAGCAGTAATACCACAATCAGCCAGAAAAAAAGAAAAAAAAAAAAAGCCTTAAAACTCTGAGTACTTCCAGACAGTTACTTTTCTACCTGAGTTTGAAGGAGACAAGTTGTAAATGTCTACAGATATATGTAGATATATGTGCACATTTCTCCAGCAGTTACTTCCTGCTGCAGCTGTTCTCCACCTCTTCTGATTTCCAACACCCTCTTCAAACCTGATCCCTAGAATGGTTGTTTTGTTATTCATTCTACCTGTTGCTTTTTTTTTTTATGACAAATTCTGTTACTTTTCCTCATCTCTTCCCTTTCACCTTTAAGTTTCCATCATCTAGTGCAACTGTTTCTTGTGTGCAGAAGTCATTCTACTTCTGGCACAGCACAAACACACATTCTCTGTAGAGTCATTGTCTGTCTGTCTTGCATTCCCTATCAGTGCTATTCTACGTATTTAAAAGGCTCTACAACATAAGACCTATCCCACAGATATGGAAGTTGCTGTGACTTACCAAATATGACCATAAAAGAAAATAAAGGCCTCATCAGAACCAGCACCAGATCATCTAGAATTGTTTCTCATGTTCTCATGATGATTCTATTTTGCCATCCATAATCCCTAAGATATGTCATCAATATTTTATAATAGAGACACTAGAAGCATGTATTTTTGATGGCTGTTATTTAAGGGTACTTAGATCTAGTTAAAGTTTTTAACTTGGAGTAAATCCAGAGGTCCACAAAGATGCTCAGAGGACTGGAGTATCTCTCTTATGAGGACAGGCTAAGAGAACTGGGCTTGTTCAGCCTGGAGAAGAGAATGCTCTGGGGAAACACTAGAGCAGTCTTCCAGTACCTAAAGGGGTCTACAAGAAATCTGGAGAGGGACTTTTTATAAGGGCATATAGTGATGAGACAAGGATAATGGCTTTAAAACTGAAAGAGGGTAGATTTAGATCAGATATTAAGAAGAAATTCTTTACTGTGAGTGTGGTGAGATACTGAAATGGGTTATCCAGAGAAGCTCTGAATGCCCCAACCCTAGAAGTGTTTAAGCAGGTTGGACAGGGCTTTGAGCAGCCTGGTCCAGTGGGAAGTGTCCCTGTCTGTGGCAGAGGTGTTGGAACTAGATGATCTTGAAGGTGCCTTCCAACCCAAATCATTTTATGGTTAAATTTATGTACTCTAGCAACAGTGATTCAGCGCTAGCTCATCCTATACCTGTATAGCACTTTGTAGCTAACAAATTCAGGAATTACTTTCTGTCTTGCCTTTCCCTCCCCACACTTTCTCCTATCCTCTTGCTATCAGATTAAAGCTCTTCCTAACTGTTCTTGAAACTACATTGCCTGGTTTCTGCATTACCTATCCAGCTGGCATAAATATTCACCCTGTCATCTCACTGCCAAACTCAAACAACACAAGACAGCCACAGGAACAAGTATATTAATTTCTAGACTTTAACAACTAAATTGGAGTTGTTGCAGCCAGATTCGGGGCTGCTATCAGTATAAGACAACCTCAAAAAGGGATCTCCCCCCTTTTTCCTTCACTCTTACACTAATAATTTTAATTTGGTACCACATTATTCCTAGACCAAGGTGCTGTTGAAATAATAAGTAAGTAATTATTTTTTGATGCAAGTATTAAGTGCAAAGAATTGACTCTCAGCTTCAAAATCTCAGAATTGTAAACTTCTTTGTTACCCACAAATTGTTACCACTAATTGATACATAAAATCTAAATACTATGAGCTTCTAGTATTTCATAAAGCACCAGTATGCCAATAATACATAGAGAAAGTCACAGTACTGCAAATCCTACTAAAATACTATTTAAATGTAATTACTGATTTTACAATCAGTGTGCAAAGCCCTATGGTCTTCAAATTTTTTTCAGTCCCGTAAAAGTGACACTAACTACCGTATTGATTCATGTGAAAGGGAACATGTGGTTGATACACTAAGCGTTGTATTTTGAACAAAAAGATTTAAGCAGAAACATTCTTTTGAATTTGGACAGGTCACTTACCTACAGTTTCAAAACCATTACTTGATTTGGGTGATCACAGACATACATTAATTCTTTGTGATACTGAATATTTGCAGTTCATAAGACTATTCTGATGAAGGAATGGCTAATTGGCACCTTGATTAGACCACCATTAGTAAATTTATTTCCATATTATTTCCAGACCAGATTCACCCTTTTAATAGCATACAGCAATGCCATCTGTTTTGTGATAATACTTTGAAGTCCTGCTGATAAAATTAGAGAGTATTAGTTATAGAAACTAAAAACGTAAAAGGAATATCAGATTAAAAAGCAAACAACACACATAGACATATGCCTCTAAGTTGAGTTGCCATCTGTTTTCATTTCCTCCCACTAATTTCATGTTTTCCCACCACCCTCATATGCTCTATCTTTCAAATGCCTGCTTTTTGAAACAGCTAAACTCTCCCTCCTTCTTGCTAAGTGTTTTTTGGGGCGTTGGTTTGTTTTTGTTTGTTTTTGGTTTTTTTTTTAATTATTTCCACTGGGGAACATTTTATTTTATTCCTCTGTCTCCCCAACCCCCCAATTTCTCCTAGTTTCAGTTCCTTATATCCCATAACTTCAGCACAAATATAGAAATAAGATGACTGCTCCCACAAATGCTCATATAACCTACTCTTGTAAGTAGCTCTTTTGTGAGGTAATGCAGCCGGTCACAGATGCAAATTCTCTTACAGAGAAAAAAAGTAAGATAAAAAAAAACTAAATCAAAAAAACACAACCTGAAAACCACAATAAAACCAACCTGCCTCTCATAGGTCAATTTCGAGCTTCAGATACTTGCAAAAAGCTTGGAGACGGAGGGAAAACATTTATCTCAGGAATGGAGAGGATGTATTTCACATATCCTTTTGTACCTTCATCTGCTGCAGAGAGATACTACCCTTTCCTGAGGGAAAAAAAAAAAAAAAAACAAAAAACCAAAACACCAAAAACCCACCAACCCAAATCTTTACATTGACTCAAATCCTGATTTTAATGGTAGATATCTTAAAATCTCAGTTTTTAATAATTGAGTCATCCAAACCAAGGACTCCAGTGCTCTGGATTCTTTCCTTTTAGTTGGTCAGCTGTTAAAGACTGAAGCTTGACTTGTTGCAAGGACAACACTTTTCTGTAACCCTTAGCTTTGAGTACTGATACTTTCTGTCTGTGGGTGGATAAGACTACAAAAGTGGAAAGAGCAAGTATAACAGAGGAAAACACTGTATTTCTTCAGAGATCATTCTATTAATGTGAGAATTTTGGACCAAATATGTGATATTCCTTTTTGTAATCCCAAAGTTATTCCCAACAATAATATGACTGTATGAAACAGAAAGGTAACTGCTGAGTGAGTGGATCTTACCTGACAGGGAAAATAAAGTTATTAGAGTGCTGGAAGTATAGTGAAGGCTGTTATGAACACTGAACAGCAGTTATATTCTTCTTTTGGGGCCAGACTAATCTCAAAAGGAAACAAGAAAAAAAATAATATCAACTACTAAAAATTAAGGCACAATCTTGTTCTGCTGCTGCTATGCAAAGGCAAAGCCACAGTTGCTGTAGAAACTTGGATTGTGTGTGTGACCGACATAAAATGCCTAGGGCAGCTGAAAAAAGGTTTGGACAGAAGTTTAGCATGGAGACTTGGAATAAGAGAACATAGGCATCTGAAGGATTTTATTACAGTCAGTATAAAACTGTACTTTTCAATTCACACTTCTATAAAAAAAGATGACAAATCACTAGTCAGCCTAAAATATAGTTGGTTTTCAAAGAATCTTTTCTATATGTATGAAATATCCAGCAGGTAAATTTTTGCAATGATAAAAAATGCACCCTATTATGCACAGCATACAGGTCATTGGAATATAGCCCTCTGAACATGACTATGTTCCAGATGATTAAAGATTTCTTCTTCTGTTTCTGGAGTAAGCTGTATATTATCTTTGATTGGAGACAATGGATCTGACTTTCTACAAGAAGGAAGTTTTTCATATTCTCTGTACAAAAAAAAAGACAAAACAAAACCCAAGAATGTTATATTACATGTTTCAAGCACAGGCCTGTAAGAACATAAGGTTTAAAGCAAAGCAAGACCCCTTGTCTAATTACCCACTTACTTATCTATGAATAAGACCAGAATAAAAATCTGGGATGGTAAGTTTTAATTTCAATTTTATTAAAACTGAATGTGATTTACAACTGCTCCAATTATCCTGTGGCAGAATGACAGCTATTAGCTTTATATATAAAAGCGTGTATGTACCCGATCCTACTCCGGGTTGTATGTGTTTCCTTAACATTTAAGTCTTCTGAATAACTATAGTTCCATACAAATGCTGCAAGTCTTGCCATTAGGACAGAACAGATTAGCGTCCCACAAGATTTATTTGCCATCAAACAATGTAATTCTGAAGACATAAGGCTAATTTAGAAACATTTTAAAATCTGAAAACAAAACCAACCACCATAAACAAAATACTCAGAACTAAATAAGACCTGGCAGTGAGAAAAGCTTTTTGTGAAATAAGAAAAGAACCATCTAAAAGCTAATAAAAAAGTACTTTATAATACTTTATTTATATAGAAGTAATATGTAAAAAAAATATATATTCCCAGTACATACCCAGACATTAGAGAAAAACCAAAACTGGACATACAAACTGTGGATGTTGGGAGCTAAGTCTTGCAACCATCAGCAGAGAAAAGGAGCAGAGTGCCATCTAGGCTCACTCTGTTCTATCTGCCTGTTTTCTGATAAATCAAAATACACTCACTTTCTCCCTGTGAACAACCCTTGTCAGACATTGCCAATTAGAGGTCAAGCAAGACATACACAAATATTTTCACTTCCTCTTTGAAACTATCATTCTTAACCTGCATCAAAAGGATAATAAAAAGCAAGCTTTCTAAAAATTTTAATACTGCAGGTAACATTTTTAAATAGAAGTCAGTTGTGTGTTTATAATGGCCTATGATAAAGCCCAAACTGACTAAAACATATTCAGCTGATTTAACACATGCTCACCAGTCTCATATTTGTTACTCAGTGCAAAGACAATACTTTTGTCCTACTCACATTTGGTTTCAGATTAAAGAGAATAATAATTTCATTTGAATAAAGCTTATTTATTCAAAGTTGAGATTTCTACTTGAGCTAGGAAAACTCTGGGGGAGCTTTTACCTGAGCCACAGGAAAAGCATAAGCTAGAATACCTATGCTATTTTTTTTCTAATAAAACATAATCATTCTCCTTTAAGTTCAAGCCTTGAAGATATTTGCAGAAACTTCCAGTTAGCCAAGTCATCTACACCAGGGAAAACAGTAGAATTTTATAATCTGCTAAAATGTCTCTTGTAACGAGAAACTTCAGTTAACAAACGCTCCACAAGTTCATCATCATTTCGAAAGCAAAACAGTACTGACAATCAGCCATCTCAAACTGTGAGAGGTACATAAAGTTACCTAGAAACAACCTTGCATTCAGTTAAGTTTAGCAACTTTTATGCAGCTTTTGCATTTAGACTAAGAAATGCCTTTTGGAATTTGATTCCAAACAATGGTAATAATTTTTATATAAATTATGTTAAACTAAATGCACTACTTGAATAAATGAAATTTAGCTGATACCTTTTCCTGGTTAGAAAGCAAAAGAGTAATTAGAAGAGCATATTTAACAGAAATCATACTTTATTGTTTTATCAAGATTAGGAAATTAATGTAGAAAATACCAATCTTAAGCTATTATCTTTATTGATCTGTATGGAGGATACTTGTAGAGTCTGCTTTGAAAATATTTTTTGGGAAAAATAAAAGTATATAAGGTGCTAAGTAAGGGGTCAAAGCAACTCACCTTTTAAACTGGAAGTTTTTCCAGAGTTCACTAATGGTGGCTTGCAATCCCAGTGTATTTTCAGCATCACAGTGATTTCTCTTTTGCACAGGTGACAGTTTCCTACTTAATCCACTTACTTTAGCTGGTATTAATGGCTTGAGCTTTGGTACAATACGCGACCCTATACAACTGGATTTACGTAAACCAGGAACCTGTGAGATTTCGATATTACAGTACAAATGGTTAAAATGACAACATGCAGGTGACAGGTATTATGATGCAAAGCTTATAATAAAAAAAAAAAGTGGTTTACATTGTGTTGATGTAATGCCACCTGAATTGCTACAAGATATATTTAGATAGCTTCTATAATCTAAAAAGTGTCGTCTCAAACACATTAGACATAATGCAGCTGGAAGAAGTAGCAAACCAGCTCCTATAGTGGTTTGTTTTCCAAGAGGTTGCAAATATGTATTTTTTTTGAATGCATATTTTGAAGTCTATTGAAGATTTATCTTCTCATCTGTTTACATGACTCTTCAATGTCAGCTCTCAGAACTTTAACAGAAGCTACTCTCTGGTATTGCACTCTCTGAAACCTGACTTTCATGAAAAATGGAGTCATAAGCAGAGGACAGGTGTCAGTATGATTACCCCAGTGATCATTAGACCTATAGTCAGACCTTCTTATCCAGTTTCTATACCTGAAACTCAAAACAGCTGTGCTTGGCCAGAATACCTCTTTCATGAACCAGTCTTAAGTTCAGCACTTCAATTAAAAGAAAAATAATTTCTTCATTAGATAGTTTTGCTATTCACCAACCATATTACTACAAAAAAAAAGTGTGCCTCAGCTGTTTCCAAGCGCCAAATCAATTTTTTCATATTTAGAAGAAGTGAAATATCACACGAAATAGGTCACGTCAGAATAATTATGTAACTTTCATTTTCATATTCTTATCCCTAACCACAATTTCTTACACACCTGTCATTTTTCTGGGGTCACTATCAGGCTACGTATCTGATAGCTACTCAGACTGCTGCTATCACACATTCCAATACTGATACAACACTGTTGATCATTTTTGCCTTTTCAGACTTTGTGCACAAGAGGTAACAAGTTTATTTTGAACAACAGAAGAAACACAATAAAGACCGATCTGGAAAAAAAAAAAAAAGGCCTTTTTTTTTCCTGTGAATTGCTTACCACATCTCAAATTAATTTATACCTATTGCTATTTATTTAATCATTCTTTTCCCATCACAGCACAGTAATTAATAACATGCAATATGCTTTGGGGCAGAGTTAAAACTTTGTTTGCCAAATAAGTCCAGAAGTGGCAAAAGGCCAAAAATGTCTTATTCACATTTTCCATCATATTCTTCTCTTACATATGTTTACCATTTCCCCCCAGTTTTGGGGGAAGTAGCCATTTGGAAGCATTAGCACATTTTACTGTTTGAGCCACTCTGCTACTTCATGCTAGATATGAACTACTCACAATTACCAGCTTCTAAGTGATCATTCACTTCTAGCCTGCTATTTTAACTTCTGTCTGTCATTATGAAGACCAAAACATAATTATTAGAAATACAATACCTGCAGAAGAGACAATGAGTGTCTACAATTGCAAGTTCCTATTTTACAGTTGGCTACATAAGGTAAGTTTAAAGACACCCAGGTTGTAAATAACACTCATATTTCCCATTTGGATCATGTTAAGAATAAAGCATTTTGCTCTAAATGAATCGCATTTTCCTTTTTGCTGCATCATCTGTAGAAGATGGCACAGCCCTGCCTACTTCAGGTGCTTAACTTAACTAATGTAAATAGTAAACACTCACATGAGGAAATGCTATCGATCACCTAACATTTCTTCATCTTAAAATACTAAATATTGACAGCTTTTACTTCAAAGAGAACTCACACCTCAGTTCTTTACAAAAGGATATTGAATTTTGTCACATATACTTGTTACAGTTTTTTTTATCCAAATGAATTTTTTTCTACCTGAATGGACTAAGTGGATCTTGGAATCCCAAACAAAATTGGGGGGTTAAATTTAAAATGTAGGCAAAAAAAATTTCAACAGGAATACTAGGAAAAATAAAATCCTAAACCTCCATACTTTATAGTATTTTGCTCTGGATGCATCATCTCGGCCATTTTGCAACAGCATGTGAAGTCACCCATAATTCTACATTTCTTTGTGATACTGAATTACATCAGAGTTATAACTTAAAAAACCCCAAAGTAGGCAGAGCTGAGAAACTCATAATCAGAGTAAATTGCTCTTTTGTCACAGCCTCTTTGCTGAGCTCATAGCAATTATAGAATATAATTCAGTAAAAAACTACAGCTGGAATACTATCATTAAAAGTTCCGCATGGTCCTAGAAAGTTCACTATCTTATTACCATCTGCTAGAGAAAATCTTCTATTAGTTTTGCTATTAGAGTTAACTAGCCAGGCACTTCACATTTTGAATTGGAACCATGACAAGAGCTGACAACGTCACCAAATTGCCTCATTTCTTGACAGATCAACTATATATTTTATAGCTTACCAAGATTAGAATTTATATTTTAAGTAATTGACTGCATCTTCACCAAATCTGGAACTTGTTGCTCCCTTTGGTGTCTTTTACTGTGCTTAACACCAATAAAGATTTCCTTTGTTTAACTTTCAGTAAGCAATTCTAAGGGAAAATTGAGCCAAAACTACTGCTTCTTGTCTCTACAACCACTACAAGTCTGGCTGCTTGTAGTTCCAATGGTCTCACTGGTGCTACGACTCACACCAGCTTGAGAGTCTGGACAGGCCAAAGTTCCAATACCACTGACCTTTGGGTTGCTGTCAAGTTAGTTTTCAGCCAGGTCAGTTTTCTGGTCCAAGTCATGATAGGTATTATTTCTAGTACATAAAGGAAATGGAGGAAATGCATGGCTAAGAAATGGGGAAAATCCTCCTATTAAGGGTTTGCTTTTAGCTATGCCTCCTGTCCTCAAAGACTTTCAGGAGATTCTTATTGTCTGAAGAGCTCCAAGTGTCCTGAAAATTTGTTTATATATGGTGCTTATATTACCTCAATACTTCCATACTGTGTATTCCCTTGTATTTAGCATATTCAGTCTCCCAGTATACTTTTGAGTAAAACATTAAAGCAAAACATGAAATACATTCTTTAAAACAAAATAATAAAAGTGTGAATGATTTCATTTCATTGCTCAGTCTTGTTGAGGAGAAGAAGTGGGCAAAAGATTAATCTAACCAAAAAGAATAAATTCTTGTAATCAGGTGTTCCAGAATAAAGGTTTAAATTCCAGTTTAACACAGACGTTACTAACAATAACCACAAGATGTCACTATTATACAAAACACACAATACTTTTTGTCAGAGAAACTTGTGATTTTTAGTCCATCTAAAAGAAAGAAGTTAGTAGGGGTATGCATGAAAGGACGGAAGAGTCTTCTTTTGACTTACTAATCTTTTGGCCAATTCTGATGACAATGCCCAAGGAGTCAGCAAACTTTTAGCTCTTATGGTCTTGGAAGTTTTGTAAACAAGACAGGGGACATAAATTTATTCCCTTATTACCCTTAAACACTTAAGCACATAGAAGAAAATTTGCCTGTCCTTCCATACTGATTTATCAGTGCCTAACAAGGCTTTTACCTAAAAAACACTAAACAAGAAAGGCTGAATGAAACCCTTCCAGATTATGAAATTTAAACACACTTTTTCGAGTCAAAGAGGAAGGTGACTGCTAAACTAGCAAATTTATCAAAACAAGCAATGAAATGAGGTTGTATCTCATGACTGTATCTGTATTAGAACATAACTGTAATTTGTATCATAAAACCTGTGTATTTGGCACACTGAGGAAAATTAAAATTTGGAGGTTTTGTCTTAGCTTGGCTTCATATTTTATACCAAAGCATCTAAAAATTACCAAAGAAGTTGCAACTTTGATATCAATCATAAGTGGTAAGGTTATAGTTAATCTCAGCTCTGATATGGATGAACAAGTGCATAGTTTTTTCTTGCCAACAAGTGCATTGCTTAAGATTCTTTCACTGAGTCCCAAAATAAGCTAGTAAAGGCAAAAACTATTTTTTCAGACTTAAGTACAGCACAGAGTAAAGTTAAAAGAATTCTTACCTTGCTCTTTATGATAGTATTTTTTCTGTCAGCTTGAAGAGCAGAAAATACTGGAGACCGAGTACATTGGTATTTAGCCAGTTTTGAATTGGAGTCAGATTCCTTCATCAAGAGAAAATTCATTTGGTTTTAAAACTTTTTTTTTAAACATACAATGTATATTTTTATATCTACACATTAAGGCATATAAGGCATATATATATCTACACTTTAAGGTATAATTTTTTCAGCAGTTCTAAGAACTTATACAAAACACTGAGCTTATTTTCAGCAAGCAACACCATGGTGACATACAAATGCTTTTCTGAAAGAACTTCTTCAGTGACTAACAAGAGCAGAGCAAAAAAGCTAGCCTACCAAGCTTTTTAATGTCTCACTGTAATGATAGCAATGGAAAGACTGAAGATGAAGTAAAACCAGAGAACAGACTTGATTTAAGCTAGTAAATCAACCCATTCTACACAGCTATGAAGCATTAACCAGGTTTGTCAACACAAGCTACATAACCTGCAGGGTATCATTCTGAAAATAAGAGTTTGCTGCCTGATTCCTTTTACAATTTAAAAGTGAAAGTAAATAGTGAAACAATGTCTAGTTTTCTTACTTCCACATCTGAACTGTTGTTAGAGACATGTGGTATTTCTGAAGACTTCAAACTGCATTCTGATTGCTTACAAGACCTTTGAGACTGTGATGACTGTTCCAGTTCTGTTAAGGGGAAAGATCCTTCCTCAGATTCGCCACACACTGCCCCAGTCTCTTTTTGTACATCATCAATCTGATCTTCCTGCGATATCTTGCAGCTGCTTCTCTGTTGGTGAAACTGCTGTGAAAATACAGTACGAGATGGACCATGATTTCCTGAATTTATAAGGCTGCTAAACCACCGGAAGCAGTTTTGTTGCGTTTCTCCAGGAGATGTAAAGATAGTCCTTGTTGATTTTTCAGTTTCTGAAATCTGGGAAACATCTTCTACATGTTCTACTTCCTGTTTCTGGCAATCCTTATCAGTATCTTGAGTTAGATCATGGTCATCCTCCTTTGCTTTACTGTCAAACATAATTGCATCATTGCAGAAAAACCTAAAGAGTAAAAGAAAAAGAAAGTAACTGCAAATGGGTATATTACCTCCAAAATCCAATAGCTCTTTATCTATCAATTTTATTTTTTTAAGTTCACTTGCAGACACAAGTTATTTTGACAATGGTCAAAGTCATAGGCCTTCAGGGAGGCTTTTAACAGATAAAAGTAAAAAAGAAGAACATTCCCCACCCCATATGTAAACATATGGCTGAAATACTAACAAGGTTGTTCATGTGAAAAAGAGAAACAATCAGGAATCCTGCAAAATTTAAGAATATATTTACCAGCTATCATAAGACTAAAGCAATGAAGTGTTTCACTATTGTTATCAAGGAAACTTGAAATAATCTAGTTCTTTTCCATGCTATAAAAGCAGCTCCTAAAAATAAATACAAATCAGATTTTTAAGAAGCTGAGCATTGCTTTAGAAAAGAAGCTACAACCACTGATAACTCTTAATTTTTGATGCAAAATAATTTTCAGCCCAGGAAACACCTTTAAGGCACACTACCTAAAAGCTAAAGAATGTCAGTATTAAGAGTTCTGTAAAATTACTCTGCACAATATGCAAAGTATTCAAGATAAAAATTACACAAGAAAAGACATAATTGTGATAGTGCTTCATAAAAATCAATTCAAGTAGTTGTGGCCAAATGCAACCAATGAAGCCATAAACAAACAAAACCAAAGAACTCCAAAGTCCTTCTTCCCAAAGTCTTGCTGCAAAGATCAGGTGCACTGACTGAATGGGATTGGATAAGAGGCATTTGTCACACAATATGACCCCATATGGCTTTACTGAAACAAACAAAAATCACTGTCAGCATAAGTCAATATATTCACTAACTGCTTACATATTGGGCACAAAACAGCTACTGTTTTTTTTGGGTGTATGACATATATCAAACATCATATAAATACAACCTTTACCAAGAAAAGAAATACGTCCAATTCTCAATTAATTTCAACACCCAGAGGCTAGACTGTATTGAATAGTCTCACTGTCTTCATGTCTGCTGTAAAATCCTGACATTATTCACTTACCTATCTCACACATAGATAGGAGGCCTACCACCATCTCAGCTCAGGTGCATTAATAGTATTTCATTAAAAACATCTGAGATAGCATTTTTCTCATTTTCAGTATTGAGGTTATTTCAGCAGCCAGGATAGCAAGGAGTATTTTTGCTACTTATTAAAATAAGTGACGCAAGCATACCTGCTTCTCGTTCCTGGAACAATTACGGCATCCTTCTCTTTGTTTTTCCTTTGTAGAAAGGAAGCAAATTTATTTCTAACTCGGGGCAGAGAGTTAGAGCTTTCCTGAGTGACAGAATTCCCTGAGGAATCGAGGCTTTGTATTGCTGAGACATTCTTTTGTGTCTGGCCATCACAATCACTCTCCTTGATTTTTTTTGCTTTTGAAAATGAATATTGGCTCAACAGATCTCCATCAGAGATTTCTTCTAAATATAAAGAATTAAAGAACTTAAGCATTACTGTAGCAGATGTTCTAGAATTAACCAGTTATGAGAGAACTAAGCACTACATTCTGACTCTGACAAGCTTAAAAGTATGATGAGGTTCGATAAGAACATTCTAGACACTACAGTTTAGAAGCCTGTAACACAGTTGTTTTCTAGTACATAGCCTTAAGAATAACTTTATGTGAAAATGGAGATTGAGTGAAGGAAAAAAGCCTGAAAATATTTTTGTTGTTCTTTGTTGTAATTTTTGTGTTTTTTTTTTTATTTTAAACACTTTGAAATGAACTTTAAAGGGATCTGGACAGGCTGGATCGATGAGTTGTGGCTGATAGTATGAGGTTCAACAAGGAAAAGTTCCGGGTCCTACATTTGGACCACAACAACCCCATGCAACATTGCAGGCTTGGGGAAGAATGGCTGAAAAGCTGCTCAGCAGAAAAGGACATAGGGGTGCCGATTGATGGTGGCTGAACATGAGCCATCTTGCGCCCAGGCAACCAAAAAGGCTAATGGCATCCTCACCTCTGTCAGAAACAGTGTAGCCAGCAGTTTAGGGGTAATGGTTGGACTTGACAATCTTGAAGGTCTTCTCCAACCTAATTGATTCTATGATGCTATGAAAGTAAAACTAAAGTTGACTCAAAAGGCAGGTTGCTAAACTAACTATAGATTTCAGTAAACCAGAGAGTAGGAAGATACCAGGAGTAACAAAAGCAAAAAAAGGAGTCTTAGTAGCATAATCAGAAAGCAAAGGAAATAGAAGAAAATACTTAACATAGTGTAAGCACAATGAGAACAAAATGCCCTTCTATTACAAGCCCACTTTAAACACATACAACTTAGGTGGTATAGAAGACAAGAGAGCACAGATTTACTGGAGAAAGTGAGAAAATTGAAATAAAGAATACCTATGCGATACAGCTAGCTCTGTGTTAGAAGAACACAGAAAACATTCTTTAAATTTGTCTGGCCAAATATCAACTGCAGGAAAAGTAATCTATTTTCATTTCTTCACAAGCCATTATAAGATGGAAATTCAAGCCGAAAATATAATAAATGTTATTAAATAAGACAAATTTAGAATTGAAAATGACATTTTATAGCAAATCCAAGGAAGTCAAAATCAAGTGCTGCAGAAAGTTTGCTGCCATCCTTAATCATTATGTAGGCTTTAATATTGTGGCTTGTTAATCTTGCAGCTTGTGGAAAACATAGTGCAGTTAATAAAAGTCAGTTAGACCCCTAAAATCTCATACCATTAAGTCTAAGACAAAATTCTTCCTTTTCCCACAGCTTTCTACTGTTATTTATGTACTTATTTTAATAAAAACATACCACTCCTTTGCCTTTTTGCCAAGAGCTCTTTGCCTGGAAGTTTTAGCCCTTTAACACTAATTATCTTCTCCATGCCTTTGGTTGTTGGTTTCTCTAGTAAATGCGTTTCATGAGGAACAGTATCTGCATTAGGGCCAAGCTTATAGTCTCTGCTCCAAATGCTATTTACATGATTAGCAGGCCTCTCATTCCAGTCACAACTTTTCTGCCGCACAGGCTATTAAAAAAAAATAAAACAAACAATTAAAAAAACCCCAAGTCATAGGTTTACAACTTTGTCTTCTACATATGATTTCTTGATTTGGCATGTAAGGACACTTCGACACTTGCACTAAAACTAGCAATATACTCTATGCAAACATTTCCTTTTTTGTCCCTATATTTTTCATGTTTTTCATACAAATTCTCTTTTGTGCTGCCATGACTTCATTCCAATATGGTGGAAGTGACTAACTGCTCATCTCAGACAAAATTAAAAGTTTAAATTTTATTCCTATTCAGAAAACTTAATTTGGGAAAATAATTTCCTCAGAGTAATATACTTGGAAGAAATCCAAATGTCCAAAAATTCTTTTAAACCAATTATTTCTGTCAATAATATTAAATACTTATCAAAAAGTCTGTAAGTAAATCAAACATTAAAGTCAAATTTCATGAAAAGTAAGATTTTAACTGTACGAAGAATGAGAAATACGTGTGTGGCAACATAAATTTTCTGTAACAGCAGATTAGTTTTTACTACCAAATCAGCTGCAGATAATTTTCAGTCATATTTTTCCATGAATGTTCAAGATCCACATCAAAATCTTAATACATAACTTTAGAACAAAGATGTTACCTGTGCAGTGTCAGGGTTATAATTATCAGTTTGTTCCATTGTGTTGATATCAACGTTGCCAATGGCAATTTGAAAAGCAGTACCATCACCAAAATGCCTGTTCCCATTATATTAAAGGAAAGTAACCGAATATTACATTAAATTTCAATAATAGTAGCATGAAAGTTAAACTAGTGTTTTCCCATTTTTGTACTAAAAACTCTGGCAGAATATTAACCAAAAGCATTAATATTACTATATATGGCTCAATCTGATACAACAGCTACTGTAATACACCTGCAGTGCTTGGCAAATCACAGAAGTCAAAATGAAAACCTTCACTCATCAGCAGGAAAGTTAACATCTTTCTCCTTCCTAATTTCTGAAGTTCTAAAGATTAAGCGGCTTGAAGAACACACAAATCTAAGAGATACTTCAACAGCCCACTCATTCTTCATTTTCCTAACCGTCCATGATAAAATTTGTGCTGCACAAACATAGCAAAATGCTACTTGTTCTGTAGGAAGGGATATCTGGTAAAACAGGATATGCTTAGATTAGGGAATGAGTTGTATGCAGATTACAAGAAGTAAACTGGCAAAGATTGTAACACACTTAAAAGACAAAATTTAAGGACAGTCATAAAGTGACTTAAATAGTTTAAAAATAACCTGTATTTGATGATTTGATTTTTAAAAACAAATAAAGAAGAACAAATTAAACACTTTTGAAATTGCACAAAAGCCAGGCTTTAGTCAATAGCAGAGATGCAATGGAAACGTGCAAGTACCTGCAGATGCAATAAAAATTATAAGAGACCATATCTGCTCGTCCTTATTTCCCTACTCTGCTATTTCAACACAAAGGATACCGTCCTGCATAAATTAGTGTTTCTGGATCAATATCATCTTCATATGGATTCAGAGGAACTAATTTTCTGTTGACAGGATCAAAAACTAACTGATAAAGGAATGTATTATTGGCTCGTGTAAAACCCTGTATGTATTCTTCTGGTACTGTTATATTCATCTTCAAGTACTGTCCCATTTTCTTAATAACCTATCAAACAAACAAACAAAAAAGCTTAACTGTTTCATTCAAACTGGGTACAAAAGAAGTTAAATACAGTTCAAGTAAGTATTTTTGCTTGTAATTATATGTAGAATGCATATCCCGTTACAGCAGGAAGATTCAACTTAAACAGGTGAAGGAAAAAAGTTCCATGCATTATATTCCCACTATTAAGTTGTTTACAATCACATGAATAACAATTCAACTCTTTACAAATACTTCCTGTCCAATAAATAAATATAAAAACTGAATAGAAATACATCTCCTCAAGGTATATTTGTTAAAACTAGTGCATATTAAATTGCATCGTGTTTATCATCAGACCACATTAGCAATTCATGGCTTTTTTTAGGATAGAAAAAAGCAAAACTAGGCAGATTTCCCCTTCATAATTCATCACAAAAGACTACATATCGATTTGGTGCCTCCTCCTATGTATTGTTACTGCATTACAACTTCCTAATACTTCATTGAACTCTATATTTTCCAGTTTCACAGAAAGCATATTAAATTTTTTCAAAGATCAAGTTTATCATACTGCTAGAGGCAAGATTTTCGGCTCCTCTCCAAATAAAACATCAGCTGTGTTTTGGCCGTGCATTCTAAATACAGGCAAATTTACTAATTTCAAGAAGAGTTTGAATTGGCACTGTAGGGCTCTTCGTATCTTTTGATTTATTCGTGACTTTCCAGTACTGCTGGAAAACAGCAGTGATGTATTACATAAAAGATCACTGAGTAAAAAGTTTCTCAAAATTATTAAATCTTGACATTTTGCTCAAAAAGACATACATTAAAAGAAACCATGATTTGTATGGGAAACATTAAAAGTTCCCCTTTTACTTCCACAAAAGCCAACAAAACCTGTTGCTTTGATGATGCCTGTGAGAGAAAAAAAACACGAAAGCATGCAAGTAACTGAACAAAGAAGATAATACAGGAAGTTAATTAGACTGCATATTTAAATGCTCTCCTGGACTAGATTTACCTGCCTTCAGGACAGCCATAGCCACATAAGGTATTTCTCTTATTAGCTCTTAAAAACCTCTCCTCTCTCTTACTAGCTACACAGAAATTATTCCCACTCTCTTATAGCCTCTAGATTTTGTTTTTATTGGCTAAGACAACTAACCAAAACAAAAAAACAACCAACCAAAACAAAACAAAAAAATAATTTTGGTTTTGCACCATACCAGCCTTTTCTTCCACAATGTTTTGCTATATAAATTTCAGTATCCATATGTATGTAAATACATGCAAAAAATTAATCAAATAAAATTCCAAATCACTGCCCCTCTCACACAAAGATGAAAGTGTACTTATGCAAAATTAAAAGAGTTCAATTAGCAGTTCTATAAACTAATCTGCAAAACCAGAAGAGCAGGTAATGAGGGGAAAAAACTTCCAGAGCCGTACAAAAAATTAAGTCTCTCCTCAAATACAACACCTAATCCCTTGAAGGATTAGAACAATTCTTCATGTAAGTTTGCTTTGGTGTATTTCATTAAACATACATATTAGCTCCAACATCTCAGTAAAGTTCAGCATCTTTTAGAATTCTGCTTAAAATGGACATTTTTAATTCAGTGTTACTTTTCTATCTACTGGTACAGACTCCCAAAAAGCCAACACACAAAGAGAAAGCAAATTTACCTTTATAATATCTGGATTGTTGGCTAATTTTAGTAACTTGCATGCTTTAGCTAACCCAATTCCATGAATCGATGAGAGGTAGTCACAACCAGAAAGAATACACATGTAGCGGAATTTCTCTTCTGTAAACACATTTCCAAGCTGCTTGCAGTTCCCTAGTCGAGCTTGATCTATCTCTAGCCCGTTTCCAAACTTGTCAATTTTCAGAAACACCTGGAAATTAAGAGGAAGTGAAAACAATCATTTTCACCCATATAAGCTAGTTTGTTGCACTTGGTAGAAACAACAGAAGCTGAATGCTATTCCTATGCCATCCATTTCCCCCATTTACTCTAAAAGTGTAAGTCAAACACATCTGGCAACTTCAAACTCTGCTTTAAGATATGAGGAAGAGGTAGAAGGCTATTAGTATTTTCTTCCATACCTTTTTACATCCAAAAGCTAAAAGATCAGAGTCTTCAGTAATTATAGCTTGAACAATGCCAGTCTTATTAAGATAAGCCAACTGAGCATCAGCTTCGTAAGGAGCAACAATGCAGTCAACTCCCCGGGCTCGTGCAGCCTGTACATAAACAAGAAGCATACAAGTACTTTGCATTAATCTTCAGTAACTACTTGAAGATATTTGAAAGCATAAGAACCTCTACCTTAAAAACTGAAACCATGATCTCTTTAATAAAACACCCATCCTCCTCGCGTTAAGAGTCCAGCAGTTCACATTCAACCCCAAGCTCTGAGCAGCTTAGACCTATACAGACTGACAAAACCAGCCTGTTTTTGTGGTGACAGTGTTGTAACAGTGCTACAGGGCTGGCCTGTAACACTACCCTCACTGCATTTGACCACAGGTGCCAGCTTCAAACTTACAGAAGTTACATTCTGGACAAAGGAAAACAGCATTAGAACAAATGTAATACTATTTTGATAAAGATCCTATGGCTGCAGTGGAAGGATAGCAAAAAGCTACTAGAAAGGTTTTAAACAGCCAAATTTTATTTCTGTAGTCTATTCTGAGGAACGAGCTGGGGGGAAATAAAATTGTGTTTAGTTTTTGTGAAGCAAAGGTAAAACCGTTGGTGTTACCAAAGTCAGTTCATAGCAGTATGTATTTCAATTGACACACCATCATAATTATTTATCAAGTCAAGTGCCTCTACGTTCAGACTTATTTTTAAAATGAAAGTTTGAGAACACATCATGGGGTTTGGTGTGGTAAACTGCAAACTGGCTTCAGCGGTTGGACTAGATAATCCCCAGAAGTCCCTTTCAACCCTAACAATTCTATATATGTATGTATATATTTAGAATTGTATGTGATTTATATCATTGGGCATCAAATTTGAAGTTTGTTATCTGTGCCTAACGTAATTCAACGTATGTAGGATGATTAGAGGCTAAGAAGTGGGAGATGTTTTTCTTGACTACATAGAAGAGGTTGCCATACAAAAAGAATAAAGAAATGTTACCTACTGTATAGATTATTTTTAAATCCATTGGTATCGAACAGCATTGACAACTTACTTTAATAACTTCATGAGCCATAGCATGGGTAACATTTACACTGCGCCCAAAACACTCTCTAGCTTCTGACAGTCTCCCTTCCTGCAACAATTTTTTCCCCTTCAGAAGACTGGCTTGACGCTTCCTGAAAGATAAAACAAAAATACCCACCAATCTCAGATTATTTTCTCTTAACAGAACAAGTAGCAGGAAGGACTGCAACAGGTAGGAAAGGGGGGAATATCTGTTCTACTGTATAATATTCTAAAACACAAGAATAAGTCATTGTATCAACAAAGACAATTAGATTGTCATGTTGAAACTTATAATGTTTTCTCAGGAAAACAAAGACAACTCTAGAAACTACAATCCACAGTGTAAAAGGAGATGTGCCCACTCTCAGGTTACATATCCCATAAAATATATTTAATGGAATTTGGGAGTATCTGACATTAGATACTTATTGGTTTAGAGGACAGAAGGCATCATTTATTTAATTTCAACTACTGGCAATTGTTTGCCCCATGCTGAAGGGAGCACATGTACCATGAGAACTTATAAATAAAAAGAATTAGTGAAAAATTCTCACTGCTTCAGTGAGAAGTCCCATTATATAGAGACCTGAATCCAAACATGAAACAAGTTTATTGGATTATTTGTATAGAAAGATGAGGAAGGTTGTGTTATTTGGCGATTTTTGTCCAGACATGATGAGGGAAGGTAAGCTAAAAGCCTTTAATACATTACAGGAGCTAATGCTCAGAGGTTTACTTCCTTCCTCTGTAAGAAGTGCTTTCATTTATGAACTGCATTTCTATTTTTGGAATAAAACCTCCAAGAAGAGGTTTGTATGATTCTGAAATGTAAATTAAATGAAATAACACTACATTGCAGGAAAGTTTATGGGAGATTACTACCTATCAGAAGTTTGAGGGGTTTTCAATTTTGAAAATGACTTGTAGTGTTAAACATACTGCTTTGCTTTCAAATCAATGCAGTTTAGTACTTACTCTCGTCGGGCCTTTTCCACTTCCTTCTTAGAAGGCAGGGTGCATCCATCAAATACCAAAATTGGTATAATTCCAAATGAGAGGAGCATATCAACAAGTTTCATACAAAAAGCTACATAACTGAATCAACAATAACAAAAGCAAGAAAAAAAAAGTTGAGCTTTATTGTTAAGCACAAGTCTATTGCATATTTTCTTCCAGGAAAAGAGAACTGCATGTTTAGGACTAACTGTTCAAGATCAGCCATCATATGTGCATGGAAACAAGATTTGATAATAAAATATTGATGTAGTTAAATTCAACTGTTCCAAAGTTTCCTACGACTTTTAATGTTTCTCCTGTCAATCAGTTTCTTTCTCAATGGAAGTGTATCCTACTCTTAACGACTCTGAGGTATCTCTGCTACATTCAGAGGCGGGCAGCAGGGTTGGAAGAAACACTACAGTTCTTCAACAGAAGTAGGAGTTACAGATTTGAACCCATTTGCAAACCACCAACTCCCTCTTGCCTCCAATTAAACATTTAATCAACATTTCATAAGTGAAGCTTTATCTAAACTAATCAGTGTATTTTTTTTTCTGAAAATATAAAGCGTAACCTTCTTTTAAAATCATAGTCAATCCAGAACAAAAGCTCAACTCAGTTTTCCAGAGATGGGCAAAAACTTATGCAAATCTGATCTAAGCTCCAAAGCTGAACTTGAAATACAACTAGTTTCTCTTTGTTTCCTTCCTTAGAAATATAACTGTGTAAGTAAAAAAAGCCATGTTACATCCGAAAAACCTATTCTAAAAATATAGTATATTAAGCAAAAACACCATTTATTCAAAGCACACCACATCTGTCAGAATTCCTCAGTATCATTGTAACTGTTGCCACAGCAGTGTTGACAACCTATCACTTCATACAAACAACTTTCCTGAAAATAACGCTAAAGTTGAAACATATGAATTGCACCATAATTGAGAGCAAGACATGCTGGAAAAACAAACAAACTCACCTAACTGCTGAGGTTATAACAGAAAATATTTTAGAGCTCCCCCCCCCATACTTACAGCAAACATTCCCATTTCCAAGCAGTACAACTGGGACTGGCAATTGAGAAGCAACAGTAAGAAGTGAAACCGATTTATCTTAGCTTTTAGCTCAAGACACGTTAAGCTAACAAAACTTAACTCGTAAGAGGGCCAAGAGGAAACATAACAAAGACTCACACATCTGTTGGCTCTCCTCGGACCAGCTTCTCAGCACAAGCATAAGCGCCTTTGTGCAGCCAGCAGTACGTGTCTACAGCTACCGTCTGCCCTTTGTATTTCTTCACATGGGTAGGTTCCGCGGCCTCCTTGATAAATTGGAGCAGGCCCTGAATCCCCATGATGCTGGCTGAGCTGCAGGCGGGAAAAGCCAACGCGTGAGGACAAGGAGCCTCCTGCTGGATTGCGGGCACGGCGCTGCACAGGACCCGAGATATGAGCAGCTCCAGCGCGGCTGAAGCGCCTCTCCGCCGACCAAAGAGATGCAAAGCCTCGAACGCGGCGGGAACGGGACCAGCAAGCGGCTGGTAGGCAGCGGGCACAGGGTCGGGAGGGGGCGCGAGAGGAGACAAGCGCTGGCATACCCCCACCGCCTAGCACAGGGATCAGAGGGCCCTCCCGGCGCTGTACCCGAACCCGGGAGGGCCTAAGGCAGCTCTCCCGGCTCGGCCCCAACCCCCCCCCCCTCCAAAGGCGCGACTGCCCGGGAAGCGGGGAAAGCGGCGCTGAGGGGAGCGGGGAAAGCGGCGCTGAGGGGAGCGGGGAAAGCGGCGCTGAGGGGAGCGGGGAAAGCGGCGCTGAGGGGAGCGGGGAAAGCGGCGCTGAGGGGAGCGGGGAAAGCGGCGCTGAGGGGAGCGGGGAAAGCGGCGCTGAGGGGAGCGGGGAAAGCGGCGCTGAGGGGAGCGGGGAAAGCGGCGCTGAGGGGAGCGGGGAAAGCGGCGCTGAGGGGAGCGGGGAAAGCGGCGCTGAGGGGAGCGGGAGCGGGAGCGCGATCGCCGAGCGCACCCGACAGCACCTCGCTGCGGGAGAACCGAGGGCCCGCACCGCTCCGCTCAAGCCGCGGCGCGCGGCAGCCACCTATGGTTTTCAAGCATCGCGCGCTCAGGGCGCTGGCCCCGCCCCTGCAGCGAACAAGTCCCAGCGTGCTCCGCGCGGGAGAGGCCCGGACCATCACGGCGCAAGCTCCACCCTCTTGAGGCGGACCCGCCCGGTCCGGCCTGTGGGGTGGTGTGGGCAACAGAGAAGAGGCGGGAAGGAGAGAAAAAGGAGAGGAGAGCGGCGTGGTCTGGGCAGTTAGGTCGGTGGCCAAGCTGACCCTGAGCTCCTCGTCATTTAGGATTCGTTCCCGTGCTGGGTACCGGGAGATTCCTGGAGCCTGCTACTCATTTAAAACTGGGCTTGAAAGATTCAGTGCTTGTAGGACAGCTGCAAATGCGGGGATAACAGGCTCTGAAATCTGCCTCTGGCAAAGGAAGTGCGGCTACTTTAAGCATCTAAAGAGATCTTGAAGCTTATCTGGTTAGAACCTGCCTTCCGTGAGCAGGGACACCTTCCGCTAGACCAGGTTGCTCAAAGCCCTGTCCAACCTGAACTTGAACACTGCCAGGGATGGGGCAGCCACAGTTTCTTTGGGCAACCTGTGCCAGGGCCTCACCACCCTTACAGGGAAGAATTTCATCCTAATGTCTAAGCTAAATCTACCCTTTTCCAGTTTAAAATAGTTCTCCTTGTATTGTTACGTGCCCATGTAAAAAGTCCCTCTCCAGACTAGGATGATAAGGGAGTCTGCAGTGCCAACCTTAATTTCTTCCTTCACACATGCTGGAACCTCAAATAGTCTCAGATTGATCTTACTCCTGATGTTTGTTGTCCTCATACATTGCTAAAAAAAAAACAGTATAGAAACTAAAGAATGGGGAGAGAATTGGAACAAATGAGAGACTATGCATGCAATACTTGATTATGTATGTCATTTTTCTCTACACTCGTAAAAGCATGCATGTCTGCTTCATTTGTTGAGCGAGTACTTAGATAAGACTGGAAATAATACAATACGTTTCCAGCCACAAGTAATGAGATCACTGGACTAGAATTTTGCCAGCACTCTAAAGACTAATCAGTGCACTGGAGCAGGTGTTTTTATTCACTGATTTTCTCAAATTAAAAAAGAAAGCATGATGTTTGACTGCTTTATTAAGCTGCTCCTAGTGAAGGTCTGGTGATAAAATCCTGATTAGGGGTCATGTCTCTATGAAGAGAATATGAGAAATTACGATACTGTCTTGGAATGGAGGAAATGTGATTAAATGAGGAGGAATAAAATGTAATACTTCGTTTGAAATTTCACAGAGTTTAAATATCTGGTATGTTTGTAATTATAAACAGGAAATGACTTATTTATATGATTAAGTTTTCCATTCCTGAGCAACATGGTTGTACATGCCCTTCCAGGCCTCATGGAATAGCATAAATACCATAAATAACATAAATAAATATTGCATAAATGTAATAACTAACTGGTGTAAAAGTAATAGCATAAATTCACTTAAGAGTATCTTGAAGAGCTTTCCTTCCCTCCCCCACCCCTGCCTGTTTCCTACACAGGCAGGAACTATCGGATGGGCTTATCCTTGTGTGACATGTCTGCTGTGTCCTGAGGAGATCCTGATGTCACTCCAGGAGGCACAGCCTAAACATGGAAATGAAGAAAACAGTCCTCCAGCAGAGGGCTGGTCAGAGCACACAGTGACATCTCCCACATCAAGACTAGCGCCACATTTGCCACAACACAAGCCATCTGAGATGTTGGTACTGCAGCTCCACTGCAAGGATTTCAAGTTATGAGTGAAAATTAGATTGTCTGGAGTAAAATGATCAACAGTCGACAATATTTGAGTTTGAGATATGTCATAGAGCTTCTTTTTCTTGTTAGTTAACAAAAAGGTATGCTTAAATAAAAATCTGCAGTGAGAAATATATCTGAGCTTTCCATTTTGAAGTCTGTATAGTTCTGACTCAGTCAGCAGGGCAGAAAAACAATGTTTCCAGACAGTGGACAGCAAGGCCTAAATTCAGTGCACTTTGGAAAAAGCGCATCTGAATTATAGCTCCTTAAGAATATTGTGTGTGCACTGAGAAATGCATAGAAATAATCTGGCCACAGTAACAGCGCAAGATGTTTTAAAGCTGAAAATATTGTTTAAATTTCTTTTTGCTGATTCTTCTTTTCACTCCATGATTCTGTCTGTATTTGATATGCTCTGGAAGTTTAAATTCAATTGCAACTAGAATTCCATTTGGATTAGGGTCTCTTAAGAATATGTTCTTATATAAATTCTGACATTTCTTTTTCCTTCAAACTTCTGTGTTAATGGGAAGAACAATAATCAAGGTAGACAATACATCCATACCTTTTAAAATGTCAAGAGCAATTCAATTAGATCTACTTTTGATTGTTTCCTCTAGCTTACATTAAAAATGGTCATAAGGTGAACCTCAGAGTCAGAAGCACTGAAGCCAAAGAACTTGCATTGAAAGAAGCCAGAGATCCAGAATTCTTGCTCATCTCAGATTTTCCTGTTTGATTCCTTAAATGTGAAAGGGTGGCTATCTTGGAGCTGAAGAGTTAGCATGATATGCATTAACATTCAGTTTGTTACAAATATCTTCAGCCTGACTATCTATGACCGACTTTCATTACATCTCATAGCTTATACAAAATAATAGTTTTACACAGTGAGTCAAAGGCTTTGACTCAGTAGAACTGTCTTGACTTAACAAGACAGTAGAACTGTCTTGACTTAAAATGGCTAAAGATACTGGTCCTTCAGCTCAACAGTGCCTTGTGGAAGGAAGTAGTCAGAGGATAATACTTTGGTGAGTGATTCCTTTAAAGAATACTGTAGTATTGCAGTTTTATTTCCCATAGATACTACAGGAAACTGAAGAGTAGCAATGAGTTGTGGTTGTCTACAAAACTTAGAATAATATATATAATCATTTCCTTTCACAGGTAGCTCATGTATCTGGAGAATTTGCTAGGACTACAAATTACTATGCCAAATTCCTGTTGTGTTTTTTATTTCCTTGGCTTGTTTTGTAATAGTGACTGGCAGAACACATTTCAAACAGACATAGAAATAGAAAGTGTAGCAGGAACATTTTTGTTTCCTTTACAATTGTTTTGTTTCATGTAATAAAAAAGAAGAGCTATAGATTACAGCCTTGCTGACCCCCAATGGAAATTTAAGATACGTCCCCAAGATAAGTGTGCTAAAGTACCTTGAGAAGTGCTTCTTTCTCAACACTGACTATAGAGAGGAAATGGGATCACTAGGTTGGATGCAGACAACTAATCTTTTCACAGCCAAGGTCAAGCAAAATTAGATTTGTCCTTACTGTGCACCACAGTGGACAAGGACATCTTACAGATTTTCAGTAAACTTCCTTCCCTACATTGTCTGGCACTGCTTGAATTGTTTTCACAGGGTAGATTAAAACACTTGGAATGAAAATAGGCACTTTGCAGAAGCTTTCAACCAGTTCTGGTGACATCTGATCAGGTGTCTGATTTATACTAGTTTTTCAAAAATTTCAGTGAATTCCTTCTTATTGCCACTGTATTGTCTTTAGTGAATAAAAATTTGATCACTTCTATTTCAGAAGGTCTGGCTGCCAATTAGTTTGACTATTCAATAAGTATGTAGGAAAAGAAATTCAGTCTCTCTCTGATAGACAGCAGTAGTACATTTACTGCACCCTTCATCTGCCTTTTATTAAAATTTCCATATTTTCACACTTTGGTTTGTGTTTTTTTTTAGCTTAGCTAAGAAGCCAGACCTCAATGGCACTAACAAAGTCATGTACACACTTGTACACATTTGAGAGAAGTCTAGAGAAGACATTCTTAAAGCTGTATTTAGTAGCAGAGGAAATATTTTTAAAAGCTCCTCATTTATGAGGCAAATATTGTGTCAATACTGTTAGTAAAGTCATTAAAAACCCAGATTATCTAGTTAATATTGCAACTGCCATCTGCTTCAGTAAAACCAGGCCAAAAACATGATTTATGTGAAAGGTATCTCACTTATCAACAGAAATACTAGTGAGAGGATGTAGGTTTGGTAGAAGATTTGTATTTTTTGGATTCATAAGTGGTTCCATGAGAAATATGCTGAGCAACAATCACTCTAATGTGCAAGAATGATATTAACTGACAGTTAATTGCTGTCAGTTCCTGAAAAACGTCCTTGTGAAGCTCAGCTTTATTAGCTGTATTTATCTGACAGTGTGTACTAAGTGTGTCATGATTTAAACCCAGCTGGCAACTCAGTACTATGCAGCTGCTCACAAACCATCCTCTGCCCCCCACCCTGGGCTGTATGGGGAGGAGAATCAAAAGAATGCAAACTCCACAGGTTGAGATAAGAACCGTTTAATAACTAAATTACAATGTGCTACTTCCACTACTAATGATGATGATGATAAGGGAAGTAACAAGGGGAGAGAAGATAAAACTAAAAGGGGAACGGAAAAAACATAAACACAGGTGATGCAGAACACAATTGCTTAGTACCCGCTGACTGTTACACAGCCTGACCAGAGCCAGGATTGGTGCCTTCTGGGTAACTCCCCCCAGTTTATATACTGGGCATGACGTGTTGTGGTATGGAATACATCTTTGGCTAGTTTGGGTCAGGTGTCCTATCTCTGCTTCCTCCTGGCTTCTTGTACCCCTTCAGACCAGCAGAGCATGAGAGACTGAAAAGTCCTTGATCAGGGTAAGCACTATTCAGCGACAAGTAAAACATCACTGTGTTATCAGCATTGTTCTCAGATTAAGTCCAAAACACAGCACTGCACCAGCTACTAGGAAGAAAATTAACTCCATCCCAGCCAAAACCAGCACAGAGTGTGTTCCTCCTTTCTTATTAATCTGTAGTTTACCAAAACTCAAGTAGTCTAAACAGGGATCATACATTATGTCAAAGAAGTTAAAGCAGATGACCAGCTGTAACAGAATGAAACAAGCCATGGATTACCACAATGATTCAGTAGCCAGTCTAGTTTCCAGAGTGATAGGCAGTATGTAACACATCTATTTTAGTTCTTGTTATTAACTAGCTGGCTGATTCACCAGCCATGTTGTTTTACATCAGAGGACAACAATTTCTAGGAAGGCAGGAAAGTCAATGCCTGAGGCAGTCTGTGTGTCAGCCATCTCAATCTAATCTGTTCCTCTTTGTCGCCAGACTCAGATCCTTACACAAGCTCAGCTTGCACAATCTTACAGTGCCTTGCAATGATAGGTTGGTTGTGCTCTGTTATGGATGTACTGAACACAGGTAAAAATGCCATCTTCCTTGGTCTTTACAATACAGAAGAGGCATAAAAGAGTTATATTTCAAATTTCTATTTACCTTCATAGAAAACTTTTCTTGTACACATTGTCAGTATGAGGATATATGAGCCACAGACATGACACCCAGTCACTGTGTCTGAAACTTTATAGATGATGACTGCATTCATTTTGAGTACCTGTATAGACACAACATGTTAATGATGTGAAATGCTGTCTTGTTACTCTCCAGAGGTTTGTCAGTGCTAAGGCAGGGATGTATAGGAGAATTAAGCCAAGGAGGACAATCCCAAATCCAAGCAAAACCCCACTGAAGCTTGCAAGACTTTTGTCGAAACACAGTGAAGTAGCTCAGGGGCTAGAGGTGATTTTTGCTGCTTTTTTTTTTAAATTCACCATATATGTATCACCAGAAAGCATTTTCGTCAGTTCATAAGCAACAGTCGAAGTATGTGTATTTGCAGCAACAGTTTGCTGTTACAGCAGGTGGGCATGCATGCAGGAATATTACCTGTAACACTCATAAAATCTCTCAGGCTCCGTATGTTTCTAGAGGCACTAGAATGCTAACCCCTGTCTCTTCATGTAAGGGCCCAACGATTTTTTTTATTTTTTTTTTAATGGGGGTGTGCAAATGATTTACTTTTTAGAAGGAATTTCCATTTGAAAAAAAAAAAATCATAGAAGTAATTTAATATTTTGCACAACTGTCTGTAGAAGCTTAGAGGAACCTGGTTCATTATTTACTCTACAATGAGAAGCCTGAAAGAAGATGTGGAAAGAGGTGCATTTTGCTGATTCATTCTTTAAGAAAATACTGAAAAGTACAGACAGTACATCCAGTTATCACAACCAAGAGACAATTGGTTAACTGTGGTTCTTCACTCCTTATTAAAAATACTCTGAAGTAATACATAATGAGAAGTAGAATGCGATCCTATCCGTCAGCAACATGTAGCTGTGAACTGCTGCACATCAGTAACAACGTGAGAACACCAGGAAAAGAAATCATACTATGCTGGATCATGGATGCAAAACTGAATCAGCATCATGGAAGACTTCTGCATTGAAGACTACTTGGTTGATTCACTGTGAAAAACAAAACACCAGCAGTCTGTCTATCTTTTTCTACATTTCTTTATTTATTTTCTACATTTCTTTATGTCTCTGTGTTTTCTTATTATAAATTGATGTATTTTCTCCTTTCTTCATGTTGAGATCCTTCTGCTTCCAGTATTCCAAAGGACATCCCTGTCCCCACCCTGCCAATCTGCCTTTTTGTCTTTATCTTTCAACTCAGAGGACTTTTCAGCTTGCCATCTCCAGTTGTTTCAGTTCTTTTCTCTGCCAGGCATACCTTGGATTGATTCTGGGTGCAGAAAATGTATTTTCTCGTAACAGATGGCTTTAAATGCATATATGAGTGTGCACAAAACCAGATATATCCTATCACCTTTCCTACGGTGAAGTCTCGGAAAAATTCCTAGGCTTCCTCCAAAAGACCCCCAAAATTAAAACCAGAATTATGCCATTAAACCTCAAAACCCTCTTCATTACAAGTTTTGCCACCTTTACTGATGATACTGACTATTCCAAGCTTTCCCTTGGTGTGGTTGTGGTGCTTGCAGGTTTGTTGTGTTTTTTCGGTATCCATAAACGTGTCAGTATAGAGAACAAAAGCACATTAAGCTTGTAGTATACCAGTGCGTATTTTTTTCCCTTTTGTGATCCTTTGTTGTGAAATGGCACATCTGGGTGCAGCTGAAGCCCCCTGTGCCGCATAGCTGCATGGCTCAAACTGGCCTCTAGAGACCTCAGGAACAGAGGAAGCGCCAGCTGAAGCAAAGTGCCACGGTCAGTCCAGTTTCACTTTTGCACGTGCAGAGGAAGGAGCAACTCTCTCTCCCTTTCTTTATAGGTAAGCCTTCAAACTAGTCCCACAGTGATTGCTACCAGTTTAAAATAGCATAAGTTTAGCTATGATCAACAGAGAGCTTGGAGCCTGTTATTTTGTTCCTTATGCATGTGGACTTCCACCATTGTGCTGAAGAAGACAAACAGGTACATTCTCTAGCATATTCCTCCTAGCTGCACATGCTTCTGTGCTTCTCCGAACACCATCCCTTTGAGTTAAAATCCTTTGGAAAGGTGTGTGCTTTGCTATGATGAAGTTCAAAATAGCAGTTCTAGCCCGTATTACTGTGACTTCACATTTTAGCGCTGCAGCCCCGGATGTCGTCCAGAAAAGCAGTCTGGGTTCATAAAGGTCGTCCAGACTCTCCAGGTCTGCCCAGAGCCTGAGCTATGCTGAGGCAACTTTCTTCCAGTTTGAGAATTATATAGAGCTCTCCCTCCACATATCTTTAAGGCCTGATCTAGTAGTGTTAGCAGCTTGATTCAATCATTAACAAGAAATTGCAAAAAGACAAGCAAGCTGCCGCAGATGATAACAAACAGTTTAGCAGGGGGTGGGAAAGGAACAGCTGTGTTATCCTATTTAAGATGAGAGCCTAAAACAAAGGAAACTGAAGTCCTTCTGGGGCAGGTGAGCAGCGCCTGGGAGTTGTTGCTGTTGATTTAACTTGGTGCTGGGCCTCACTATACCTCAGGTAAGCTATTCTCGCACTTGCACTCGCACTTGCACTTGCACTCGCACTCTCTGCATGTGCAGCCTCTTCTTCTGAGAAAAGGGGTTTTGAAATATTCTTTTCCCCAGTGTTTCTGGTAATGCAAACAGTGAACTAGTAGGTGAAGGTCTGTGTCTCAAGGAAATCTGAGGAAGCATGAACTATACAATGACTTAGATAAAAACTTGCTTTTAGCCTAGTAGCTCAAGTAAAAGCACTTGTTAACTGAAAGGTTAAAAAGAAATTAAAAAAGCTGTTAATTATGCTCTATAGGAAAACTGATAAGATTCTCAGGGATCTGAGTCAAACTCAACTGTTTCGGTACTTTCAGCCCAGAAAGAAGAGAGGGAGACAGATGTTTGCTTTTCATATACAGGCTCCTTAGTGTGGATGAGCTCAGTGGGCAGCAGAGTTTATCTCTAAAAAGCCAGCAGGATTCCCTCATAGTGGGAAAATAATACTTTGCTGCATTATTTGGGTGAAATTGCCCTTTCCTTTTCCAAGAGTAGGCACCTGCTGGGAGGGTGCTTCCATACTGTATCCTGCCCTCTCAATATTGCTGGCTGCTTTCACACACTCTCAGGCCAGATACTATGGACAGATTCTTGCAGATCTTCTTTCTTATTCTGTCCATTGTCTGCTCCTCTTATCCTCTGCATCTCTGCAGGAGATGTAATGATAGGGGCAGGACAGACAGCAGGGCAGCCTGCCTCATCTTCAAATGCATCTGCTTACGTACTCCTCTTCTGACCTATGTTGAGAGTTTTTATTTAGTCATGGAAGTGAAAAGTATCCTTTTCTTATTCTGCTCTTCACTGACTTGACTCACTCATTTCATATCCATCCAACATGGTTACACTCAAGACACTGATCTTTCTAAAGGTGTAATGCCTTCAAACCAGAAAGCACTGCCAGCATCTTGATGGATTCCAGCTTTCCGAAAAAGGCAGAGTTAGCAAAGGCTTAGAAACATCTTAGCTCCTTTGGAGAGAGTGGAGACTTAAAAACTAAAGAGAATAGAGTCACTCCTTAATGCACTCACTGGTAAGTATCTATAATGCTACCAAATTAGCTCAGCCTGGAACACAGCTAGAGGTTGAGCTTTGTAGCCCTCAGTTTTTATCAGTCTGCTTATTTTATATGAGCCCAGTGCTGGTCTGAGCTGACATAGCCTGTAGTCATGTGGATAACAGAAAGACATTTCATACAGGCCAATGAGATACACATGTTCTAGCAAATTTTGTTAGAATTTTATTAAATTTCAGAGGTGAAAAAAAGGGAGACTTTGGTTGAAAAGAAATTATTTCAAATATTTTGCTGGGATCTAGTGCTTTTCTGGGATCAGATAGAATGATCAAATAGAGTTTGTGCTTTCGGGGGAAATGAAGGAGGCTCAGTGATCTACCATACCCCTCACCCTGTTATTCTGGGGGAATACTGTCATTTGGAAACACTGCATCAGTTACATCTAGCCACACTATGCTCTATTCCATTTCATTTCTCATACAAATACTTTTCTTCTTTGTGCCACATGGAACAATATTAAAATAGGTTAATCAGTAACCAATGATTCCAGCAGCAGCTGAACAGTCTCTCATATGCTCCCAGCTGTAAGTAATCTAAACCCTTTCTCTTTTTCTGTTATGTAGGTACTGAGATATTCCATACTGCTGAGTCTTCCAGCAGCAAATGAAGAATATGTATATGTTCCTCCTTTCCACTTTATATTTGCTTTTGAAATCCACTGGCACCAAAGAGGTTATATTTGGTCATAATAATTTCACAGAATATCAAGTGGGCAACATGAACCTGATTCTCTCTGTCCCACACGGTGGGTCAATGGAACCCAAAGACATCCCTGATCGAGAAGCTGCTTGTTGGGATGCAAAGACATCCTCTTGTATTTTCTCTCATGAGTGTCCTCCTGGAAGTATCCAAAGTTATAAGAAATGCAAAGTGTCTACCAACCAAGACAGGTATACTATAGAGGTTGCTCAAGCTCTTGCTGAAGAAATCAACAACATTACTGGTGGCTTATTCCCACATATCATTATAAACCACCTTCAGAGATTCAAGATGGATGCTAACAGGGTAAAGGAAGAAGCCTGCTTTGGAATTCCCCAAGCAGAACAGGCATGGGAGGAATACATGGGATTTTTGACCACTGCAAAAAGACAGATGACAGAGGGCCTGATTCTGGATATCCATGGACAAGCACATCCTGAACGATGGATAGAATTAGGTTACACTCTTTCAAAAACTTCTCTTAACTCGGGGGACTTTTCTGCATCGTGTTCCTCAATTAGCCATCTGGCCAGTCAACTAGTAAATGTGTCTTCTCAGACTTTGGTTGCAGGGAACAGAAGTTTGGGTAAATATATTGAAGAACAAGATAACAGTCATGTCTGTGTGCCTTCTCCATCCAATCCTAGCCCAAATAATGGGAGCTATTATAGTGGTGGATACATAACAAAGACTTTTGGTTCCCATAGCTCTGGCACTGTTGATGCCATTCAGCTTGAACTACCCCAGTGGGTGAGAGCAGCTGAAGAACGTCCCAGATTTTGTAAAGCACTAGCAAGGGCTGTAATGAAATTCTGGCAAACTAACTACTGCAGCCAGCACAACCGTGAATTTCTGCTGTGCTGAAAGATGCTATCCTTTAAAGATAGCTTTCCATAATATAGTAATGATCTGGAACAATGGAAAAGCTGATACACTTGGAACATTTAGGCCTGCAATATAATTATGGATGATGGTGGAAAGAAACTAACTTGCAAAGGAATACAGAGACATCTACATAAAATCCACAGCTAATACCAATAAGCCCATTAATACACAGCTTTCTACTACATCCAGCATTGAAAAGACTTCTTGAAAATAAGTGGGTATATTTGGAAGTATCATTTGTCTGGTATGCTGCTCTGTGCCTAATTTCTTTCCAATAGCATTCTGTAGCACACAATAAACTGTTCTTCTTATAATTGAATTCTGTGCAGTGTTTTAGTAGATGGTCTGTTCAAAGAAATGAAGCATCTCTGCTTTTCTTATGATACTTAAGACAATAGGATTGTCTTGTGTAATATATTTTGGGCTGGGACCAGTTTCCATTTGGTGTTTATAAAGCCCTAGGAGCTGGAACTCTTCAAGTAAACAGTAACGTTGAGCAATGACACCCAGTCTGAACTACTTCAGGTTTTGTTAATTTAATGAATAATGAAAAAAATCTCTTGAGAGCATTACAGTGCTAAAATCTTGTCACAGTTTAAGTAGCACAACAGTAAGGTGTTATCTTTAGAAGCCTTCCATCCAGTTACAACATATCATGCATTTTTGACAGTTATACTTACAGCATGCTTCCCTCCTGAGAGCTGGTCCATTGATTTCATACAGCATAGGATTAAACACTTGATTGTTAACTGGGAATAGTATTGCATTGCGGATGGGCTCTTCTCCACCACGGAGAACATAGCGGCATAAATAGATGTGAGTCTGTTTATGCTACAGTAGACAAATCAGCTTTTGGAAAACATGGGCAATTAATAAGGAAGACTGAAAAGAGTAAAATTCATAAATTAAGAACCTATGAAATCCTATCAGTGCTAAAGGTTTGATAAAAATGAAAGAATGGGTTAATAGTTCTGAGTAAATAGTTCTGAGTAAATAAACAGTCAATCAACTAAAGAGAAGCAGGATTTCTGCATCTTGCAGCCACAGTAAAATACTTAAGTTCTAACTATAAATAGGGACAATATCAAAGAGAAAATCTTGCATGACTATAAAGCAGAACACATAAGAGCAATGGAAGAGGAGCTCTCTGAACCTGAACTGTTCACTTTTAATAATCTTTGAAGACTAAGCAATTTTCAGGTAACTTGAAGAGAGCTGACTAGCTGTCTTTCAAAGGCAAATAGGACTCATGGAACTGCAGGGTGTTACCTTTCATATGCTAACTGCTAAATCATGGGTCAGATGAAGGGAGCACAGATAGTAAATGAGGGATTACATCTTATCTGGTGACACTTGTTTTGTCAGACAAACTTGATTTTAGTTTTAATCACAAGGTTAATTGTGGTTATGTAGTGGGTTAACCCTGGCAGACACAAAGCACCCACCCAGTTGCTTGCTTGCATCCAGTGGGATGCAGGAGAGATTTGGAAGAGCAAAAGTTAGAAATCTTGTGGGTTGAGATAATGAGAGTTTAATAGGTGAAGCAAAGCTGCATGTGCAAACAAAATAAAGTACAGAATCCATCCACTGCTTCCCATCAGCAGGCAGATGTTTAACCATTTCCTGGGAAGCAGGGCCTCAATGTGCATAATGGTTACATGGGAAGACAGGTACCATAACCACAAATATCTTGATTTGCTCCTCCATTCCATAAACTGTTATTGCTGAGCAGGACATCATATGGAATGTATTAGGTTCACCCCAGCCAGATCCTGAACAGTTGATAATAGTATTTTTAAACACCTTCCCGCAAGATATTTTGCTAAAAAAAAAATATTTGCAGATCAAACACCATTCATTACTAGTAATACAGAAACCGCATTTTTTTTCCCCCAAAATAGTAGGTAATAATGGCACTAGTTACAGGAATTACCTTAAATACTTGCCACAGCGACACACTTGGCAATGATTTGTACCTTTAGTGAAACAAAGGATGATAGAATATGTATTCTGTGACCTGTGTCATGTTGTGGCAGTGTCTGGGAATGCTGAAATGCCAGGAAGCATTCAGGGAATCATGACTGATAATGAATTGAATATGAGCTCAGCATGTAGTTTTCTTGTTTAGAGGGTGAACATGCTCTCTGAAAGCATAAGCAAGGAATTAAGAGGCAGAAACAGCAGGACATATTAACTCCTTTTTGGGAATCTGATGTTTATCTGATTGTGTGTAAAATACAGTTCTGACACATTAGACACTTAAAAAAACATATAACCACTGTGGTGGAAAGGCTTAAAAAGGCTACAGAAATCTGCCTTATAGTGACTCACAAAGCTCAAATTACAGTTAACTTTGCTATGAAGAGTAATTGTGAGGCTGACAGAGCCTGGGTAAAGGAGAATGCCATCTTTAATGGTATTTTTAAATAAGGCTGTTTCTCATCATTTGAACCTAGTTCTCAATCTTTCTTCTGTCTTATCTCCACATGATTAACAGGAATCTAAATGAAGACATTTGACTAGGATACTGTGGCATATCTGTGCTAACTACAGAACATCCCATCATCTCTTTGCCTAGCTAAGGACACAAAAGTTCTTGAGAGAAAGGTTAGAGCAGTACCTCTGGAATAACATTTCATATTCTTCAGAGGAATCTATCTATATAGCTAGCAAAAGCAGATTTATGGCTCTGAATCTTTAAGCAGTTAATCACAGTAAGGTCCTTTTCCTTCTTAACCATCAAAAAGTGGAGTGAGATAGACTCTTCTGTGAGTATCTTGTTATAACCATATAGTCTTTATCACATTTTTTTATCTGCATGAAAGACTGGATTAGAAGTAAAGATTTGATTTCGAGATGTTCTACTTAATTGTGAAATGCTTTTAAATATAATTAAAAATCAAAAAGAAACAGAGAAAAAATGAAATAAGGAACCTGTTAATCCACTTGCCCTGAAGATGGACGCTATGTTTATTTGTCTTGACCCTGTTCTCCACCTGTTCGCATTGTCTATCCTGTGGCACTTGGTGTCTCAGCTTTTCTCTTCTGAAGACCTTGAAAAATAAATTGCAAAATTTCAAGAACTAAATAATATATTCAGGTGAACAGACCAATTGATAGTGTTTTGTAACAACACAGACAAAAGAAAATATTTATTGTGCATGCAGCTCATAGAAAAAATCTGATCTCATTTCACTGTAAATCCATCGCAGTGCCATTGGCTTCAGTGTAGCTGCTCCTACTTTGCCAAGGCAGAAGACCCCCTGTATTTTATTTTCTTCTTCTGGAAGAAAATGAAACGTAGATTTCCAAGGCACAATAATGGTCAGAAGGATAGCATACGTGCTAACTATTTGAACAAGTTTTCTGTTTTCTGAGATACTCTGTAATGCTGCATGCACAAGCATTAAACCATGTAGATTTAAATGCAGAGTACCCTATTCATCCCACCTAACTAGCCATCTAGATGCTAGAGTCTCATCCAAGCTAGTTTTCTAGATAACCTCTATAGAAAGACATCACCACCTCTACTTGGGGTGATTCTTTCCATCCTATGATAGGTGGGATAAACACCTGTGGACATTCTGGTCTTTCTCCATAGATGGAAAAACCTAGGAAGCCTTGCTAGACAGCTTGCAATAAATCAAAGCAATAGTACTTATAAAACAGTATTAACTTACAATAGCCACATCTTTGTGCAAATAAGAATTAATTTTGCGGGGCTGGCTAAAATTGTTGAGTTTGAGTAAAAAGCTAATGAGGTGAGATTGAACAGGAGAAGCAAGTGTCTGGAATACTCACTTGGTGGCATTTTCTCTTCAGCTGGCTTCTCAAGCTTCCACCAAACGGAGAATGGAGTTGGATGGGTAGTAATGCAAACCGTGTTTGAAAATTAAATTGAGAAGCAGATAGTTAACAATAGAATGGCAGAGTATATGATTGTGATAATTTACCAGTGCTAAAGGCTTCTGCTTTATGAATGCCACTGCAAAAGGTAGAAAGCACTTATACTTACCTTATATATAGGAAGATACCCAAATACTGCACCAGCCAATCTGTTTCCAGGCTCAAAACATTTCACAGGTTGTTTATAGATCTGACCAAGGGAAGCCAAAGTCAGTGCATTACTAGCTGAAGACAAATGATAATGAAGACATTAGCTCTGTTATTGGATTGCATGGTAAGATTCATGTTATCTGCAGAAATGTATATTACTACTATCTAAAGAGATTAGGGTTTATGCACAGGTTTTCTCTGTACCATGTAAAGGCTACCTTGAACTTTTTTTTTTCGTTTTCTTTAAATAGGAGGGATCATTATTCTACTACAGAAAATGCATATGCAGCAAAATCCCAGCTTCCCAAGGAACACAACATGAAGAGTTAACAGCAAAATGCCTTTTATCACCTAAGTTAAAGCTAGTTTTAAACACTTAGTTCTCTGACCTATTAACGCTTTGGATAAGATCAATAAAGGAATAGTAGTAACAGTTTAACAGATACCACATCTTCAACAATGTAAAACATTTATGAAGGAATCTTTTCCAGTATCTGTCTGCTAATTCTCAGCATTATTCATGCTCATTAATTACTAGGCCTTACCTATTTCAGAAAGATATGACAACTGAATTATGGTGAGCTAATCATATACTCTAGGTATTTGAACAGCCACTGAATAGCACACTCTAGTCTAAAGTGCAAACTGAAGTTCACTGTTTTTTTCCGCTCTAAGGCAAATGATAGGAAATCAAACTCTTTTCTCATCAAAAGCTTAATAAGAAAGAGACTCTGGTGCTAACATGTATCATGTATCTTCTGCTATGAGACCTCCCATAAGTCATCTTTCCAAACAACTATGTAAAATGCAAAGCAGAGCCTACCTCTACTGTCTTCACCTACAATGTACTCAGCCACTGACTTTGCTACAATAAATTTCATGTTTTATACCCAGCCTCAACATATTTTTCCCACTAACTGTTCTTTCTTATTATACAACACTGTATCTACACCTGCTGAACAAACGGGGACCAGTGATCAACTGCCAATATTTTGTAGTGCATCCTTCTACAAAAAAGTAGGTACGCAAGTCTCTGTGGTTTAAACACAGGCTGCTCTGGAGATTGTGGAGCACCTGTGACTGGTATAACTGACTTAAGGGAGCTCACCAACTTGTTGCTGTTTTGGGGTGAAATGATGGAATGCCTCGAAACTGCACACTTGACTAGCTTTGTGTAGCAGCAAGTAATCCACTAGCTTCAATAGATTCTACGATTCTCTAAACAGTGGAGAAGTGTCTTCCACTCACCTTGTCATTCTTTCTTCCAGGGTACACGAAAAAAGTAGCTGACCACATGGGGTAATGCTGTTTTTTACTGACTACTGTTTGGAACTTAGCTGGCCACATTAGAATAGGAAACTCATGGTACCACAAAGTTTAGGAGAGGTTTTTAAAGCATTCATAACCCTCACTGGCTTTTGACCAATAACCTCTGGGTCAGAGAAAGAATGGTCAGAAAGGT